AAGAGAGGAAAGGTAGTGTTTTAATGTGTTTCTGCCATAAGACAGCAAGATTCAAGGTTGGTTATGTCCAGACATCTTAGTAGACATAGTGCCAGGTTACTTGCAAACTACAAGCATTGGATTTATATTTTTATTTGTGAATAACTCCTGAATAATTTACCTTAATACCTTCATTCCCATTATGTACACTGTGCAATTATATCACATCAATTATAGACCTTCAGGTCAACTTAAACTCATTCTTCAATTGTCATAAGTTCTATTAAAAACATTTATAAATAAACCATATTTAAATTTTAAGCCTTCTGTTCCCCCCCACAGCCATTCTCCCTGTGAATTTATTCCATCTGTGCATTGCCTGAGATTGTCTACCAGAGCTGATAAGAGATCATTTTCATTCATCTACTATTATCAATAGTATCCATTCCAGAAAGTGTAAGATATTGGAATGTTACAAGTATATCTATTTTTTTTCTTTTCTTTTTTTTTAGCTGAGCCTTCCTGCCACCTGTCGGCAGCTCAGCAGCAGCTCAGCTCGGGCCGGGCATCGAACCGCTGTTGCTCAGAGCTCGCACTCTTGAGTGAGCTCTTAACCAACTGAGCCACTTGGCAGGCCCTACAAGTATATCTTAATACCAGTCATACTTTATATGCAAATACCTCGCTTGTTAAAAAACTATCAAATGTAGTTTTGATAGTATCAGATTGATACTCTGAAGCCAAAAGCATTTTAACAAAGGTTAAATTCTTCCTCTGTCCCCAGTAGCACCAACTCAGTAACTTTCGTGAAGCCCAGGAAATGGGACTCTAAGAACTCCCGAGAAATGTGCATTATCCACATGGGAATGAGGCAGGAGTCGTACTGTTGGAATAGAGATGGCTTTATTCATACACACGCATAGATCTCTGTAACTACAATAACAACACTGTCATGTTTTTTGTTACCACTGTATTTTCATGCTTCAGAAGGTTTTTAAGAAATGGTTTCCTCATTTTAAGTATTATTCATTCCTGATATGTATGATTTTCATAGTCTCAAAAAAATAATTCTAATTCATTGATGGGTAAAAGGGAAGTTTTTAGTAGCAAGGTACTAGTGCAAATAAATAGCCTGATGGCAAAACAGCATTTATAAGGCCCCAGAGCTCCTTTCAAGGACATTGCACCCCAGAATCACATCCTAGTGTATCGCCAGGAAGGAATCTACAATTCTAGTTGCACTTCATGAGGCTGCCAAAGAACTGAGTCATTGCAACTTATACATATAGATGTACTTGTCTTATTTTAATTTTGAGATGAATAAAGAAATCCATAATATTTCTAAAGGATTTCTGCACAGAGAGTAAACACCAACTATCACACAAATGAGACTAAAAGTTCGAGTTCTTGAAATGCTAACCTCCTTTATTTAAAGGAATATAAATATATGCCTTGATAAGATCCTGAGGGACTCAGTCTTAGAATTTGTCTTTGCTTAATTTGATCTTGGACCTGAACTCACTTTACAAAAGCCTTCAATTCCATATTTGAAGGCGACTGAAACTTAATTCCTTCCCCTTTCCAGCGAGTCTTTTAAAAATATAATGAACACAGTACTGCACTCAATATTTCAGCAAAAGGGACTGCTGGTTAAATTCACAGAAAGAATACATAAAAGGCAAAACAAACAAGACAGAATTGTTTTTCTTAAAAAGAACTTTAAAAATAAATTGTGCTGCAAAACTACTTTTGCAATTATAGTGTCATGTTTGGCCCCACTATGTTTCAGAGGCACTGCATTAATATAAACAGAATCGTCTAACGCACTTTTCTCAAAACAGTGCTTCTCAGCCAAGGGCTAGCGCGAATTCATTCTACTGCTAGGTGCCGATGACACTTTGGTTTGCTTTACTGGCAACATTTGGCGACGTATCCTATACTAAGAGGAAGGCTGGAAGCCAAGCACATGACAAGAGCCAAATACATGTGTTACTTCTTTTCATGCTTCTTGGTTAATTTCCCCACGCCTAGCTGGAAGGCGCCCCGGTTGTCACTGGAGGGCTCCTCCCTCCGCCGACTCTCTTGGGAGACTTGCCGCACAGCCTGCCGGATGGCATTCTGCACGATCTGTTTGCTGGCATCCTGCAGCTTCACCTCTTCAGGCTCATTCCCAGGTTTCTCACCTAGCCAAAAA